ACATGCACAGCCACATACAAATGCATATACACAAACATATTCCACATCCACATTCAGATACAATTACAATTACAGATATACCATACACATATTCTCAAGAGCACACATACACACACGAATATAACATTACTGTTATGTATTTCATGCTCCCCACGTTTTTTGTTTTTCAATTTTTTTTAATTATTATTTTAATTATGTTACATTGTTCTCCGTCATTAAAGTAACGAACAAATTAAAATTCATATTTGATATAAGAGAAATTACAAACGTATGGAAAAAATATGTATTCTTTTTTATTAAACGTTAAAACAGTAAAAAATAAAATTCCGCATAAAAATTACTTCTTCTCTAATCGTTTGCTCTACTTCTTCTCACAACTTTTTCTTCTTTTTTTTTTAATTTTTCTACTTTTACATTAAATATAGTATCTTTTTGGTTACAAAGTATTAGGGGAAATATTTATACGAAATATAGAAACTTAACGTAAATTTTTTTTTAAATAGAAATTAATTTCGAAATTTCTGAAATTCTACCATTAAATAGCAACGCGATTCCTTGTTTAGAATTAAATGAAATTATTAATGATGTTTATTGACGGAATAAAAATTAATTTTCCCCCCGCATTTTTGTCCCCCGAAAACGATAAGGTTAAGTTGTATTGCAGATTTGAAAAGTTGTAAGAATACTCTTTTTTTTCTTTTTTTTTAGTTCTTTGTTGTTTTAGAATCTGGCGTAGTTTTTCACAAGTAAATTTCTTTTAGTAATATTCCATTCTATTTCAAAGCATTTAATATCTAGATATCATAAAATGTTACTAAAAAATGGATATTAAAACGCTATTTGATCTGAAACTCAACTTAAACGTAATTATGGATTTTTATAATTGAATACTTTCTACCTTTGACATTTATTTCCTTTTTTTCTTATTTTAAATTGCTTACAGCCTACGCATGTCATCGTAATCCACCTTAATTACCATTTATTAATATTTAAAAAATAATCCTTCACATTTGAGCATTTAAAGCACGTAATTATAATGTCTATAAATATGAGTCTGTGTTTTAACTGTAACAAGAAAATTTTTTCGTTAAAAAGCATCTATAGAAAAAATAAATTGATAGATATAGAGAAATAAATATCTTGACGCAATGGCTCTAAATTATCTTGTATTCTAAATTTACAATAGATGGCGGAAATGTTCTTGAACAAATCTCTAATTCTTTCTTTTTCTTGTTTATCAGATATGCACATTTGCAACGCATTATACTAAATAAAAAACTTAAGATTTCTCAAATTCTGATTCATGTAATATTTTCAATACAACTTCCTGCAATGATATTATTACCCTTGCAAAATTTGTCTTTATAACATTAAGTATGTATAATCAGTAAATTAACGAGACTTGGGGCATTGAACCTAAACTATGATGTTTTTAAAAAGAAGAGTAAATAAAAAGCTAGTTAAAATTATGTTGTTGATATGACTAACTTAAACCATGATGTGTTTTTTTTTAAAAAAATAATTAAATAGATAAATAAGAAGCGAGTTGAAATGTTGTTGCTGATATCCGACAGCGATTCAATTTTCCCTCGCTAGGTACTACAACTACTTGCCATCTAAGGAATGATAAGCAAGCAGCTGCCAGTCTAATTATTCCGCTTGAGAAATTAACACGAAATGGAAGGAAGCTCAATTCAATTTCCTGGAGTTATGGAGATAGAACCAATGGTTACTGTTATTTGCAAACTTTAACAAACCTCAGAAAGGCAATCAAGCTGAAACATCTCGGTCTACTTTGCACATTCATGTTGCACGACGGCGGTAGCTCATGAGCAACTAAATTATAAAGGGACTTATGAGGAGAATCGAATAGGAAGTTTTGAGCCACCCAACATAGAGACCAGATCTCTCGCATGTGGCTCAAAAAAGCTCTGTTCAAACGGTTTCAGGCAAATGGCGAAGTCAAACGACATCTATACGCCCCTGGGCAATACAGGTCTAACCAGAACGTAGCATAGCAATATGTGACAATAGTAAGAATGCCAAATCGATTGTAAACAGTATTTTTGATTTATTTTTCAGATAAGTTTATGTAAATTGATTTTCCTTTTTAGATTTTTTCATAAATATCCTGAATACCAGAAACTTTTTCCATTTGCTGACGTTCCTCTAGAAAAGTTGCGTGACGATAAGAAAGTTTTAGCCCATGCAATGGCGGTCATGTATGCTTTGAATTCCATTGTTGATAGTCTTGGCGATGTTGACTGTCTTGTTCAAATTTTAGTACGAATAGGATCAGGCCACAAACCTCGAAGTATTCAACCAATTCATTTTGAGGTAATTTTTCTTCTGGAAATTTTTTATTTATTTTTGAGATATGTTACAATTAGGTACCTGCAACTCGAGAAGAAAAAGACCGCTAAAATCTGCTGGTTGTGTATAAACTATGTGTGTTAACGTTTTAGCTATTAAGCTTTATTTATGATCGCGCTAAATCCCTTTTCGGGTCAGATTTAATTGGGGACCTGCAAGCGATGTTACGCGTAGATGTCGAACCTGATTGGCCGTTGAATCGTGGCATTTGCTTAGGCCACGTGGCATCACTTGCAGGTAGCCAATTACAGTACTCGTTATTTCTTAATTAGGAGAGAAATTATACTATGAATGTAAGTCTAATATAAGACTGTTCATTGTAGATAACTGCCTTATTAACCAATCCATTTACTTTAAATTCATATTTATTATTGATGAAAGCTTTTGTTGCACGTCAGAAGTTTTTAGGGAATAGCATAAGATGCTTCTTTGGAGACATGTTATCGACAACCTGGATAATTTTCCAATTTTTTCTCAATTTACTTATAAATTTAACATCAATTGCAATTTTGCATATTGCAATTATGTATTTTGCAATTATGCATAAAATAAAAGTTCATTTAACAAAATGTCGCGATTGTGATTTAATTTTTCTCCCTTAAGTTATTTAAGCATCTTTTGAAAAGAGGCGATTTGCTTACCATTGGCGTGGAACATATTTAATTTTAATTTATTTTAATTAAAGTAATTTACTTTATTTGAATTTAATTTTTTTTTATTACAACAGTTATTACCTGACAATAAATATTGAATTATTACTAAAGTAATTCTGACTACATCTATTCTTGTTTGTATGTGATAAATTACTAATTATTGCCAAAATTCTATTGTAAGGAAATATAATACGCTTTCACTGCATTTTAATTCTTTCTAACTTGAAAAAAAAACTGTGAGAAGAAAGAAATATATTCCTCGGCCATCTAAATAAATTTTAATCATTACCATGAACAAATTAAATGAAATAAACTCATCAAAACGTGATGAATAGAAAACAATCATCATGCTTCTCTAGCTTTGAGTAAACGTAATAAACAGATTTATTTTTTAAAAAAGTTATGCAAATGATGTTTTAAGAAATTATGAGATGTTCAAAATAAGTCCCGATTTATTTAATCATAAATGTTATATTAAAATGGCACGATAACATATTGCTCTGATACTTATTCAATTAAACATCGAAATAATTATATTTCCAAATATTTAAACAATCAGTACTCAATTCGTAGCTTAGGATTTTAAAAAAAAATCTAGTCCTCTATCCTAAATTCTTTTTAGGTTCGTGAAAAGGACATTATTATTTTTTTTAGTTTATTTTAGTTATTTATTTTTAAATGTTAATACGTTTTCGCATGCTACTATCAAAGTGTCACCGTTCATGCCGCCATTCATGATTTAGAACGTTTTGTAATTATTAAAGGGGTTCATCAATATTTAAACACATTTTAAAATTACGTAAAGAAATAAAATCATCTTCAGGCATCGTCCATTAAATGTAACACTCATTTTTTTCAACTCGAAATTTTTTAAATTTACTGAAACTAAATTTCCAAAGAAAAGCTATCGAAGAATTTTACCCTAGCTAGATGAAACATAAGCTTTAAATCTATACCTGAAATGAAAATTGTAACCTATACCTAAACCTAGAAATGATTACCTATTATGAATGAATACCTATACCTAAATGAATTGACGGAAACCTTACTCTGCTTTGTGCTTCTCAATGAATCAACCTCATCCAGCCTGGAAATGCTTGGTGGCTTTCTTAAGCATTGCCGCATAACATTTTTAAATGTTGGTAGTTTAAAAAAATATTTAAAATCAAACCTACTAATAAGAGACACTAAACAGTTAATTTATAAATGCTTAATCAGACCTATCCTAACATATGCCTCAGAAACTTGGACAACAACACAGAAAGATGAGAATTCCTTGGGAATCTTCGAACGTCGGATCCTAAGATCCATTTTTGGGGGCAAACAAGTTGATGGTACTTGGTACAGACGTTCAAACTCAGAACTCTATCGGGCCCTTAGAGAGCCTGATGTTGTCAAGTATGTAAAAATCCAAAGAATTAAATGGGCTGGTCACATCATTCGAATGAACAGAGAGCGTTCGACAAACATAATCTTTTTGGCTCAGCCCATCGGATCAAGGCCCAGAGGTCGACCAAAGCTGAGATGGGCCGACTGCGTGGAAAGAGACTTTTCAGTCTTAAAAGTCTCAAACTGGAAGACAACTGCCAGGCGGAGGCAGGCCTGGAGGAAGTTGATTGAGAAGGCCAGGGCCCACCCGGGGCTGTCGTGCCATTGAGGAAGGAAGGAAGTAATAATACCTAAATGAATTGACAGAATCCTTACTCTGCTTTAAGTTTCTCAATCAATCAATCTCATCCAGCCTGGAAATGCTTGATGGCTTTCTTAAGCATTGCCGCATAACATTTCTAAATGCTGGTAGTAATAATACCTAAATGAATTGACAGAATCCTTGCTCTGCTTTAAGTTTCTCAACTAATCAATCTCATCTAGCCTAGAAACGCTCGGTTGCTTTCTTAAGCGTCGCCGCACAACATTTTTAAATGTTGGTAGTATATACATTAATTGAAATTTGTTATTTTTGTTTTAGAATATACAAAAACTATTTTATGTCTTTTCAGAATCTTGCCAGTTTTCTGGTCAGTTTTCTAATCGAAGCCCTTGGAAAGAGCGTTATGGACGACAGTGCTGTAGAAGCTTGGCGCACAGCTTTCAAAGCAGCAAATGGCATTATCATAAATGCTTTACAAAATGCTTAATAAATGACTGTAGCTTTGGTATTTGTAAAAAGAAAATATTAGCTACATTTATCCACTTTTGGAATTTGTTTTTGTTTTGTTTTTTTGTATTGTTATATAACTATAAAAGCATTAGCTATTTGTTTTTCTTAAAGTGATTTTGATGTAAAAAAGCTTTTCTTTACATCAAAAAAAGTTAAAGAAAAACAAATTTAAACTTAAAAAAACTGTTGTTTAAATTTTCTGGTTTACGTATTTTTTGTGAAAAGCTAAGATAATACTTTCTTACAAGAAGACTTTGTTTGCAGAAATATACTTCTCAAAAACAGTTAATAAAATCAAAATATTGTTATTTTTGAATTGTTTTATTTCATTTAATTTTTTCATCAAATTTCATGGGCAATGAATGCTGTAGATGGAATATAACTACTATTTCATATCCTTCTGATTTCGAACTCTAGGATATCAGAAAGTAATTAATAGTACTATACTCTTTGCAAATAAAAGAAGCATTTCAAAATTACTCGTTTTTCCCCACTCTCCACACTTTTAGAATAGTTTCGGTTTTTTCGCAACGGCTTCAGTAAGAAGTTGGAATATAATTGCGTATAGAAAAAGCAAGATTTGCCGAAACGATAGTGATGGAGAGCCTTAAGAGGACGCACGGGAGAAACTTTTCATTGCAAATTTTTTTCCTCTCCATTATTAACTTAAAAGAAATGAAAAATGAGTTCAGGCAAATATAGAGTAACCCTTGAAGTTTCAATATCGAAATGCAAACAAATTACACTGGCGTGCAAAACTTAAGCAACAAGTGCGTTTTTTGTCATAACTCTACAAGAAATCATCCGACTGACATGAAATTTGAATATGATGTACATTATTTTGCACTTAAAACGATGGTAAAAGAATAATGGCGCAGAAATGAATATAAAGCTTAAAGTAGGGTATGGAACAAAAAAAGGCTTTATTTGACATATAGTGGCGTTACACATGATTGCCTGAAGAAGCGTAAGTACAACTGGCAGATGTTCCCTAGTATGGGATATGCCCTCCCCTTACTGTAATTGTTGCTTGGCATCGTCTCTCCATGCTAAGCACCAGATTATCCAGGAGTTCTTGGGGTAAACGTCTCCATTCCTCCTTTAACGCATCATTCAGCTGATGGGTGTTACCAGGAGGATACTGTCGTGTCGCAAGACGTCTCCCTAATGCATCCCACACATGCTCTATGGGATTTAGATCTGGAGAGTAAGCTGGCCAATCCTTTCGCGTGATATCTTCACTTTCCAGAAGCTCTTGAACATTAGCAGTACGGTGTGGCCGAGCATTGCATCCATAAAAATGAAGTCTCGTCCAATGGCCTCTCGGAACAGACGCACATGGGGTAGGATTACCTCATTGCAGTAGCGGTCTCCAGTTACAGAACCACGGTCGAAGATCTGAAGCTCAATCCGCCCGTTCAACATAATGCCACCCCAGACGACAACTCCAGGACCACCGTAAATATCTCTTTCTGCGATGTTATTGGGATGAAATCGAGCTCCAACCTCTCTCCAGATCAACTGAGAATCGCTTGTAGCACTAAAACGACTCTCATCTGTGAAGAGGACGTGACTCCATTGATGAGGTGTCCAGGTTTCGTGTTCTCTGCACCACTCTAAACGGTGCCGCCGATGGCTAACTTTTAAAGGTATGCAGCGATCAGGACGTCTAGCAAATAAGCCACCTTGTGAAGGCGTCTGGCCACTGTAAATCTTGATACTTGTCGTCCTGCGGCTGTGCACAGTTGCTGAGATATGGCGCTCACTGACTGAAAACGGTTTCTTTTCGCCTGGAGGACAATGTAACGGTCATCTCTTGGTGCTGTTTTCCTTAGACGGCCACCACCAACCTTCCGAACAGCTGTACCAGTAGTTTTAAAGGCATTCCAAGCATGAGAAACAGCACTTTTGTTGATCCCGAACTCTTCGGCGACACTGGTCACACTACGCCCCTCCTCAAGCTTCCCAATGATTCTTCCTCGAGTAAAGTCGTCTAAATGATTTCTTGAAGACATGTTTCACAAAACAAATCACTTGCAGCGAATGTCTTTAACTATCGTGCTCTTCATCCTTTTATCACAGCTTTGACCTGCGCGCGCCGACCCACAAGGTTTACGTACACTTACATCACCTACGACGTTTCATTTCTAATATTGGCATACAAATAATCTTCCTACTGAATTACGTGCATATTATACTGCAATTTCATGGCTATCTTATACTTTGTTGGGGAGCTGTGGCCGAAAAACCACTTGTTGCTTAAGTTTTGCACACCAGTGTAGAACTTATCATCTCTTAATATATTTTGATATTTCACTCTACGAACTCACTTTTTCTGCACTGATTCTTTATTTAAGTATAACGTTAAAAATAATTGCCAAGAATTCCTACTAACTGCTGTTTTGTATCGCACAACTTCTTTTAAAAAGTAGCGCACTGTACTACAAACTACGGAGAAAAAATAGCGATTACCGTAGTTTTGCTACTTGTAGTGTGCTACTTCCGACCGCTGGTCATGACTGCCCCCAGCTTTGAGCCGCAATGGCTCAGAGGATTGAGCGTTCGCCTTTCAATGAGGTGAACCGGGTTCGAATCCCAGTCGATTCGAATTCTGCATCCGGCTTACACCGACCACAGTGCTGACGTGAAATATCCTCAGTGGTTGACGGATCATGGGTTAGAGTCCCCTTGCCGTCAGACTAACTGTGGGAGGTTCTCGCGATCTTCCTCTCCATGTAATGCAAATGCGGGTTAGCTCCATCAAAAAAAGTTCTCCACGAAGGCAAATTTCTCCCAATACTCGATCCAGGAGTCTCCTTGTCTTCTGGATTGGGTTCAAAATGACAAGGCTACGGAGTTGTACATTAGTAGTCGTAAACCCATAAAATTGGGTCGGCTGTTCAACGACGGTTATAATTATAATACCCCCACTTTTGAGCCAGAAACCTTTATCATCAGAATTACGCTGCTTACCTACAAAGCCTCTTCTGGAAGATAGTTTATTTACGTCGCACTAGAGCTGCACTATGGGCTATTGACGAGGGTGTAGGAAACATCCCTGAGGATGATCCGAATACATACCATCGCGATTTTGATACTCAGCAGAAGGGATGGCTCTCCGCTTTGGTAGCCCGACGAGTTGCGGACAAAATCAAGTATTTTACGGTAAATTTTTTTAACGAGGACCGATACCGCACACCCTCAAGTGGCCACCCATTCGCTTACTGACAGCAGCCAGTGATGCTTGACTTCTGTTTGTTCTACTAGGAACGGTGTCTTTACGATCAGCGGGACTCTGGTAGATTGAGAACATAGAAATCCTTACTTACTTCAATCTGTTTTTAAATTTGAAAAAAATAAATGATCGAAGTTCGTTTAGCAAAAGAGTGCAAATATACCCCTTTAGAATGAAAGCACTGAGACCCTTTGAAAAATTTCTGAAGATTTCTTGTGATCTCTGTGTATATATGAAGACTTATGTTTTCCCTTAATATTAACCTATAATTTTCAAACTAGACTACATTTATTACAATATACCTATAGACCAAACCAGACCTCAAAATTGTAGAAGAATTAGTGGGGGCACAAGAGAGCTGAATGGTGATGTCAATATCCTCTTTACAATAAGAGCGTCAGGAATTAGAATGTTGCGGAGGGGGGAGTTCTGAATATACAAAATGGCTTATATTTTCTTTAAATATTAACCTATAATTTTGAAACTTGGTCCAGTGCATTGTTGGAACGAAATATATCACCTCCCAAGGCCGAAAATAATAGACAAATTAGTAGGGGCACAATGGGGCCTAATTTTATTTAAGATACAAATCCTCGTACATAAGTTAGAATTTTGAACCCCTTTAAGTGATCTGATGAATGTTGTCCCGTAGTCTAAAGTAAGAACCTGATAATACCATAGGCACTAGTGTAAATCCCAGGGAGAGCTATCGTAGCCTATGAAAGTACAATATTATTAGCTAATAACGTTTTCTTTTTAATACAGCATATGCAAAACCTTCGTTTGTTTTTTTACTGTATGGTAATTTTAATGAAATATTTTAAATTATTGTCTTAATATTCTCTTTTGTAAGGAAAGTGTCGGGACACTTTAAAATATTTCTGAAGGCTTCTCCTGCTCTCTGCATACACATAAAGACCTATATTTTCCCTAAATATAAACCTATAATTTTCTTACTTGGCCACTTTTATTATAACAATGTACAGTGCGCAAAATAAAGAACGGACCACTCGAAACAGCTTTTGATCTAATGATCGAATATTCGCTCTCTAGGACTCATTGTTAATGGTTCAAGGGGGTGACCTCAAATATGTAAATTAGTGCAGATGAAATTTCAAGCTCCTAAATCAGACACAAAAACATTTCTTCTCCAAAAAGGAAAAAAAACATAGTCCCGCAGTGGACTGATCGTAAAGACACCGTTCCCAGTAGAAGACCGACATCTCTGGCTGCGGTTAGGTGACCAGTAGGGACCGAGGATGGGCGGTATCGGTCTTCGTTAAGCTGTTCTACCATAAAGTGCCCCCTCCGCAGAGGATCAAAATTGCTATGCCCTATCTTCGGATCATTCTCAGGGATATTTCCCAGACCGTCGCCAATAACCAGTTGTATAGCTCTAGTGCGACATAAATAAAGTACTTATGAATATATATATATCCTTACTGTA